CTGGTCTTGAAAGAAAATGCCTAGTCCTCAGCGCCCGAGACCGAGACAAGACCAAGACCAAATGTGATCGAGTCCGAGACGAGACCGAGACCATCAATAAATGGTCTTAAGACCGGTCTTGAGAGCAAGACCAATTTCGAGTACCACAACACTGCCCGAAGCAGTGTGTTTTAATGTCAGACACTAACTGCGTTTCCATTCACTATATGCACAAAGAAATTTGACAATTTAGGAAAAACTTTTTCGATAAAAAGTTTTTGGAGCTAGAATGAGGTGGTTTTTCAGCTGCGATGACATTAACGTGTTTTGCAAAACCTTCAATGGAAACACTATTTTCACATCACACGAGTCATGTGATCAACAACCGGATGTTGCTACTGGAGGAAACAAAGAAGACGACAGGATGTGGTGGGAGGATGATGACGCGATGAATTAGTTCGTGACTTTAGCGAAATATCGATAAAGTTCTGCACACATTTGTAATAAAAACGCAGCTAATGATAATATCTTCGTTTATTCAGTGTGTAAATATCTGGATTAAACTGTACAAAGCTGATTCACTCTGCCCTATAAAGTTATTGCACAAGTAACCGTAGACTTTAAAATAATAACAAGAGGTCACCTTGATGGTGCTGAGATCCATCGGGTGCTTGATGATGTCATGGTAGTCGTGCAGGCCCAGAGCTTTGGCGTCGACGGGTTTGGAAAAAGGCCAGGCGTACGCCATGTGCTTCTTGGACAGCATCTCTCTCACGAGTCGTGCGCAGAAGCGGAGCTGATCCTGGCGCTTGGAAGTCGCCGTGGCGCCCATCTCCAGGCCCCCGCCCATGTGATGTTGGGAGTCCGGCTGCAACGAGTCCCGTTTGGGCTGCTTCGACGGGCGGGCGCTGTCTCGGCGAGGCCGGGTCACGTCAGACACCGGGGGCGACTCACTCAACTGGTCGTTGGCGGTGGGGGTGGTGGTGTCCGCTTTCCTCTTCTGGCTTTTCTTTTGCTGTTGATGGGGAGTTGGGGTTTTCCGTCAGAACAGAAACATTTGGATGCGTGTAACACAACGAAATGTGGAGTCATTGGTTACCTTGATGAGGGCCGGGGAGCTCTGCAGCACCGGCGGAGGATGGAGGCCTGGGTGCGTCATGGGTGGAGGGGGGACAGAAGTCATGCCTTGGGGTAGGACGTCAGAGGTGGAGAGGGTGAACTGGGGTCTGAGATGTGAAGCGTGGTTTGTGGGTGTGGGAGGCACCCGTGGGGGTTGTGTCTGGACTTGGGAGGGGGCCAAAGGCTGGGCTAAAGCCTGCGGTATGGTTTGGGGAAATGGTTGAGATAAGGAATGGATTATGGGCTGGATTAAGGGCTGGATTAAGGGCTGGGTTAAGGGCTGGGTTAAGGGCTGGGTTAAGGGCTGGGTTAAGGGCTGAGTTAAGGGCTGAGTTAAGGGCTGAGTTAAGGGCTGAGTTAAGGGCTGAGTTAAGGGCTGAGTTAAGGGCTGAGTTAAGGGCTGGACGAGGGGCTGAAGTAAAGGTTGGGTTAAGGGGAGGGTTGGTGTGCCACGGGTGTGTGGAGTGGTTGGGGGCGATGAAAAGCCTCTCGTATGCGGGGTCGTTGACGGAGAGGATGACTCTTGGCCTGAATCTGACATAGTCATCAGAGCTGGAACGAAGGATGGACGTGTGAGGACAAGAGGGAAGAGAAATACCAAATGAAATGCTGTTTTCAGGGTTCCTACAGCTTAAGGCAAGTTAAATTCAAGACTTTTTAATGCCAGTTGAAATAACATTTAAGACAAACTTCACAGTAAACACAAATGAAAAAAACAAACAAACAAACAAACAAAACAAAAACAAAAAAAAGACACCCCAGTAAGCAACAATTTTCTCCCAGGTTTTCCCCAGAAATCTTGCCAAGCCTGGTGGTTGGGCCACTAGGGCAGTCGTTCATCCAGGAGCCGGTTGTGTTTTTGAGGTAAAAACGTTTAAAGCTGACAGGAAATTTAAAAATACCACTTGATAATTATCTGTTATTAAAAGATTAATGCCTGAACACCATCTATAAAGTCTTTAAAAAATGCAAACATTTTAAAAAGACTTAAATAAATGAGCAATGTTTAGCCTGGTGGGGGCACAAGTAAAGCCTGGCTTATAATACACTGAGGGAAACCATGTCCTCCTTGTTTTTTTTTTAACATAGGACTGGACAATTTGGTTGAAAAACAGCACAAAATAAACATTTAATCAGTCAATAGATAACTATTGATTAGTTTTTTTATTTAAATATTTGAAATCCCCCCCAGTGAAGACCCGCCTCCTGGCTCTGATTGGATGTTTCTAGTTACCACTGGAAGCAATATGAGAAGGCAGAGGAGCTCGATTTTTCACAGATTATCTTTCATTCCATCACAAATTAAGGACAGTTTCAACAAATATGTAAAAATATTCTTTTATAAAAGTTACATACTGCCGCTTTAAGGCCTTATTTTTAGATTCAATGCCTGTCGAAACTTTTTAGGATCAGAGGGAACCCTGTGTTTTACACATGTAAGACAAATGACATCATTTCAAATAACAGAAAATTACACACCTGAAGCGCTTCAAACAAACAAAACCTGATTTAACCATTAAAATTTTGTTACACAATGGCAAGTTTAAGCCTGCATGTGTCCTGACAAGCTTAACGAGTCAGGTTAGCACCATTTACACATCAGTGAAAACAAGTCTTCTCAGGTGCTTTTCACGTTGCATCTGCCAGAAATCAGATGTTCGTGATTAAACATGTATTTGAAGATAAATCTACTCACAGGGCTCTCGCCTCCCTGCACGACGACCCTTACTGACCACGGCGATCTCCGCCTCTTCCTGCGGCATCTCTGTGATCTTCTGCAGGAAGAGCTTTTCCAAAGCCTCGGCCATAAGGACGATATCATCCCCAGGCTGCAGAAGTGAGAGACAATATGAAAACCAGAGCGCGTTTCAGATTGACAGCATACTTTTACAATGAAATCCAATACATCGAGATTTGAGGTTGCGACGTGACAAAAAGTTTAAAAATGGAAAAATTCTGCAAGATATAAACTTATTCTTAATTTTTTTTAAATTTTGCTCATAGCAGATGAACTAAAGTTCTGTTTTTCTGTACTGTTGAAAAAGAAGAACACAATGTGTCGCTCGTGAAGGTCAAGTGTGATTTCAGCGTGTGACCTCGTCTAACCTTGTTGTAGATGTAGCAGTTTGTGAACATTGTGTTGAAGTCTTGGATACACTCCTGGGCATTCCAGTAGTAGTTGTTCTCCAGACGTTTCTTTATGGTGCCCATGTCCATAGGACTCCTTATTATCTTGTAGTAGTCCTTTGGGGGGAGAAAACAAGGTGAAAAGTAAAGAAAACGACAACTCTGTGTAAGGTGGACTGAAGAATTCCTAATTAAATAAAAACTGTCCATATGATCAGGATTGTTACTCTTACTATTTTCTCCACTGTATGTTCAATAGGAGTAGCAATACATTTGAAAATATGATTAAATGCAGTTACTTTGTGGAGCTTGGTGGTACAAATCATATTTCTCAATGTGACTGGTGTCCTAAAGAAGCATATTACAAATGGGAATGTTTGTCAAGAGCAGTATTTGTGTTGGCAGGGTTATAATTGCTGTAACACAGTCGCAGCCATACAGTAACCTACATAAAAAAAAGTAGTGATAAATTGTTCTTATAGCCACTTTTATTGTTATCAAAAAAGTACCACAAAATATGATAAAACTGAGTCCATATTGCCTCATTTATACACTGATCACTTAAACTAATCATCAACTAAAAATAAAAGCTTCCACTAAATATTTTCACACATTAATTCAATATAAAACCCAACTACTACAGGAACAAAAACAAGATTAAAGGAGTCATATCTACACCAACAAACTAATCTGTTTTCAGCTAATTATTTAAGTATTTAATAAGCTTTACTCTCTCAATTCTGATTTGTTTACGAATAGAAACCAGCTATTTGCACGGCTGTGTGGTGTTCGCATGTAAAATGAAGTTGGCAGCAGCGTCTGCGGCAACACTGGCTATACATCGCAACTTCAGGTACGTAAAAAATAAAGAAAACACTACTCACAGGCAAATTAAGTTTCACTGCGTCTACAGGTGCTTGGAAGGGCCATGCAAACTGGTGTTTCCATAATGTCTTCAACACCACTTTAAGCAGATACTGAAAAGAGCACAGACAAAACAAAAGGAAAATTATTGGTTCGAGGGGAACTGCAGGCTAATGGGGGCATGAAGACGAGCTGAGGTGAAGCTACCTGGAGCTGGTTGGTCTGTCGTTTGGGTCTGGAAGGGTTCCATGTTTCCGGAGGAGGGGGGTTGAAGGGGAGAGGCGGCGTGGCGGGAGGGAGATGCTGGCTGCTGCCCGCCTCCAGTCCGTCTCCCATCACAGCAGAGGGTTGCAGTAGCCGAGCAGACAGGTGAGATGGGTTGGACCTGGCAGGGGCAGGTTGCAGTGGGGGGAACCCCCTCAGGCCATTACATTCCTCCTTTGACCCTCTGAAAGGACGATTGTGGAACAACATAATTTACTGCTGGGTTTCTGCTCAAACCTTAAAGGATTCTGGGTGTGGCTGAAAGAAAAAGACTCAACTTTCTGAGAAAAACTAACAACTTAGAGTAAGAAACTGCAGCCAACTGTTTTTATGTACTTTGTGTTTCAACACTTAACAAGGCTAAAGAAAATTACAAAATAAAAGGTGTGAACTTCTTAAACTTCACTGAAAAGTGCTGATAATAAGTAGAGATGCACCGATCTGATATTAATATCTGTATCAATACAGATATCAAAATAAAATCTACATTGGGTATTGGCGACAATGTGCCCAATCCAGAAGGGCGGATCTATACAGCCTAATTCTATGCTTTATGCTCTGAGTGACGTCATGTTCTATTATTTATTTTACATTACATTTATAATTTCTAATTACACTTTCTGAACCAGTTGAAAGAAGGTTTGTTGCAGTTTATTTTTTACCTGTTGCTTTTCTCAGTTTCAGTTTATTATATTTTAGATTGGCTGTTCTCCTAATTGAACTAATTGAGTGAACAAATTAAAGTAATGTTTTTACAAGTTTGATCAAGCTTGTGAATCTGTGTGTGTGCTGTACTGGCGCAGAGCTAGCAAATGAATTTTTAATCCGGTACATTTATGTCTGTATTTTAAAAAAACAACAACAAATGAAAGTCAATTCAGCACCGTTTTTCTGTATCGGATCAGCCGATATTAAACCTCAGATGTCTGTATCGGTATCGGATGTAAAAAAAAAAAAAAAAAAAATCCCTACTGACAAATATTACTGCTGGTTTGGACACAAAGGAGTAAATACAGCTTCGACTCCAGATAAAATGCAAACACAAGACAACATTGCCAGTAAACATAATTTCAACTATGCAAAAAACAACAACAAAATGTTTCATTGTGCATAAAGCATGGCACAAACTCACAGCATGTATTATTATTTGTAAAAAGCAAGAGTGAATTCTGATCATTCTCCCCCAAAAACAAAAAACAAAGCACAGCGTTACCCAAACACTTCAATAAAGCCTCCACGCTGCCAGATGAGGGAGTGACAGCCCTATGAAGGTCCACTTACAGTGGACACCAGATATTAACATCAATTCTATAAAAAAACATCTTTTTAAATTCTGGCATTGTTAGCAACATTTTTTCGAGTGCCAAAACCAAGAGTATTTTTATACTTTCTTCTTTATTTTTTCATTTTGCTCTTCTTATGATCTCACACAAACTAATAACAGATATGGTTCAATTTAAATCAAATATTTTGAATTCTGCTCAATCATTCAAGAATTTAGCAAACAGAATTGATTTCAGCAACTCTAAATGATCTCAAACAGGCATTTAATCCTATTAAAGCTATTAAACAGTCAGTAAAGAAAATGTTTGTGTATATATGTATGTAAATATCTAATCTCCGCTGTATGCAGACGGTTTGATGCAGAGACGTCACGAAAGTGTGCGAGTGTCTGATTTAAAATGCAACACTCTGGGACTAGTGCAGCGGACTGCGCCACGCGCCCCATTTCTTTCCATAAAGATACGCTCGACATATTGAGGTGACGTGCACCTACAGATCAGACCGCCGGACCTCAACCAACGGTAGTTTCTTCTGTAAAGGTGACGCCTGGAAGTGGAAATAAAAATTAAAAAAATTGAGAGGGAGTCACACGTCACCGATGGGATTTAAACTTTTTAACGTTTTTAGACACAGATTTTACATGTAGTTCTCTAAACCCAGTCTGCTGACTTCCACTCTGCATCCATGTGGTTCTGTGATGGCAGCTTTAGATGTGAAAACTCCCATGAGCGTGGAACGCAAGCTTCTCCGTTGCCGATTTGTGAAAAGCCAAAGGGAGCTTAGTAAAGATTTTATTCTTTCGGCTTGCTTTTTGACGTAGTACTAGTGATGTTGCAAAAAAAAAGAAATTTCACGGCTTGAAATTAGGCTTCTGTCTCTTTAAGAAACTCGTACTCTTTCTGAAACTCCACCTTCAGTAAATAATCACAACATGGCTCCTCTATTAACCTTTTAACAATATTTTTACCAGCGACGCTCTGAGAAGTAGCTCATATAATGACCTCAAGTTCCACTAGATGTTTGCTAATTGCTGCTGGCTAGTCTGAAGGAGCAGAGAAGCTCAGAAGCTTAGAAACTGCAGCTCCGAGGAAGAACCAGGCATCTCATGAATTTCTCAAACATGCATGAGAGACTCAAGGGAGGTATGTTTTTGATAAGGGAATAACATTATACATGATGTCAAGTTAAAACATTATACATGATGTCAAGTTAAAAAAAGCTTTTATTTTAAAGCCCCTTTAAAATAAAAGCACAGCACCGCTTGGTCTTGGATCAAACATCAATTCCATGCAGGTTTTCCCAGGAGACCATTATAACTAAGTACTCTGCAACAGCCAGTCGTCATTTTGGTGCAGCTGAACAGCAAACTTTAAGTTGGCCTGACTAAATCACCAAAGCGAAAACTTTGGATTTCATTAGATGATGCTAGCGTTGACAGCAGTGCTAACGTTTTCTGCAGCTTTCAATGTAACAGGTTTTTGGTGAGCTCCTCTCAGTTTACGCTTTAAACTTGAATAAATCGCTGGCCCAGATTTTGTAACATCTCCTGCACTTTTGTGTTGCTAATTTTGACCCGATCTGAGAAACGATCTTTGTGAAACTCACATGGTTGATGCTGTGCCGCTGTGGTCTACTCCACTAGTGTAATCATATCTCAGTTGGTGAGGCGGCACCTTTCTGAGAAAACTCGGGATGCTTTCCAGCGACACGCTGTGAGTTCAGGGAAACCACAACACATAGAGAGGCGAGTGTCAAACCTGCGAGAGAGAGAGAGACACACAAGAGTGAGCGCCAGGGGTCTAAGACGAGACATGTCCGATATCGTTAAGTAACCAAAGAGGGTAACGTTGAGTTAACCAATGGTGGTGCAATCTAGTGTACATGAAAACAGAATAATAAGTCGATACTGTGACCAGCAAACAGAGTTGTGTTAGAAAACAAATCTAATCAGAGTTTTAATTAGACAGATTTGTTGATAAATACATTAATTTCATTGTGCAGTTGAAATCTCCATTTCTGAGATCTCTTTTACTTGCTATTGCAAGTTGTAATTTTTAAGATCCAATAACAGAATGGGGAAAACATACAATATTCATTAGTGAACACAAAATCCAGTTTCCACCAAAATAGGAACAGACTATTTCATAATTTGACTATAATTTTTACTCCAGTCATTTTCTATTTTCAACCACAGTTCTAAAAAGGTATGGCTTTAAAAACAATTAACATACTCTTCATTCAGTTTTTAAGTCTAATAAAAGTCAAAGTTAAAGTTTGGAGCAGTGGTGATGCTTCCCACTTTGCTCTTCTTTCAGTATAAAGTCACTATAAAGTCATTTCTCTTGTTTATGAGAAAGACATGCATCATATTCATCATTCAAATAACAGGAGTCCCGTCTATTACAGTTATTAGGGTAAACAAAAGATTGCTAGCGCAAAATCTGGAGCAGTGCGCGTTTTTAGCTTAGAGCAGGTTAACCAACAATGCCAATCGCCTGGCAAATTAGCTAGCATTAGCTTTCGGTTAGGGCTGGATGATATTAAAATGTATAACTGTGATATTAACTAGGGCTGTAGTGATACAATAATCTCACGATACGATACAATACACAATATTCTGCTCACGATACAATATATATTGGGATATTCAGCAAATGAATACACTTTTGCAATTTTCTGAAAGATTTTAGAGGGACAGAGTGATTTTGGTGACATTTTGTGACTGTTATAGAGTTGGATTTAATTAATTTCACTGAAAACTGATTAAAAGCACCAACTACACAATACCTGGCTCTAGTTGGACATGGAGTTAATGAAGCTGGACAAAATGAATCAAAGAAGTGGTGAGAAAACATGTTTATTTTAATTGAAACGGTATAAACTGTAGCTTACATGCGTTTGTAAAGTAAATAAAGTGCACCAAGTACCCTGCTCTGAATAGTTTGATACCTTTTTAACCTTGACACTTAACATCTGAAGGAATCACTCTAAGCCTGATGACCTAATCACTCTCCCAGCGAAGCAAGCAGTGAGTGAGCAAGGTGATAGTTGGATGTTGCGATACTTGCGGATGACTATCAATTTTTTTCTAGGAAAGAAAACATCAATATATATCGCAAAATCGATATTATTACACATCCCTAATATTAACATCTTATCATTCGTTTGCCGTTGCTCAATGTATATTTTCAGTATGCTCAGTGCCATTCTCTGGAATAACAGCAAGCTTTTTTATTTAAATGCTTCAATTACATCAGCAGGTGTTTATTGTATATTTTGATTCAGTCCTCCACTATTGTGTGTGTCATTAAAGGATATTTAAAATGGCCTACTTTTTTGCTGACCATTTTATTCAACTACTTGTGACTAAAATAGAATTTAATTATTTATTTCCAAACATTTTTAGCTCAGAAATAATAAAAAAAAAAAGTTATGTAATGTCAGAAGCACACTTTGTAAATGATCTCAACAGACAGCCATTTAATAAGCAATTTAATAATTTTTGGGTGTTTTGGTTTTTAAAGTTCATGCTTAGTTTTAAGGTGGCAACATTTTAGTCCTTGCTTTTATTGTTGGAAATATATCAAAAATAAACAGCGAAATGATCCCGTAGAATGATGTATGGATTGAATAAGCTGTATAATTGATCATTTTCCTTTTATGCTCATATGGACCAATTTGTGTCAGTTATAAAGATGATGATGAATCACATTCTAGCATTTTTTTGTATGATTTGGGTTTACATAATTCTACAGATTTCACTATTTCAGCTTTCAACACTGAATTTCATTTTAAATCTTTAATATATGCATAATCTTGATATCATTTGAAAGTTTTTAATCATTTTTTCAATAACATACTATAACTTGAGACCAATATTTTGTTGACCTATGAATGATGACTTTGTCAAATGGAGATAATTTTGCAAACAGTCTAGTCAAATCAGGTATTTTAAGAGCGACAAATTGTGATATACTCTTAAATTAATAGCACAATGTTTAATATAGCACTTGATTTTTAAATATGGTTATGTTCATAGCGTTACTTAAAAAAAATATAAGATTCTATGATAAAGAATACATTGCGTACTTTAAAGAAGGCCACAACCTCTTCACACCGAGGTAATAATAAACTATATTATTTTCGGTTCGCCACCATTAAATTTGTCTATTAAAATTCATAACGCAATTTGACCCAAACAAAAACTTAAAAACCCAGCATGCTGCAAAGCTTTCTTCACTAACCTTCCATGATCGTGGGTCGCCGTGTTCACCGTGATCAAGTGACAGCTGTGTACGTAAGGAGCGTTTTAGAATACCACTCCGACAGCACTGGTGGTATTCTCGAAACACCGTACGTCGCGCTTCACATGAGTTTCTGCGCCATAGTGCATAATCTACGCACCCATTAGGACGTAACTTATGTCACGAATACGGCCTACGGGGCTACAAACAAACAGCCTAGCAGCTAATTGACTAGCGTCCCAGCGACCTGCCGCTAACATGTACACTGACAGCACCGAGTGACACCTGTCACGTAAGTCACCTCAACAAAAGTACCTAGACGTGGAAGATACGACACAGAACGTGCACGAGGAGACGAAACCGCACACAAAAATGAGGGAGAACGACATATATCCCGTGTAGCCAAACCGGTACAAGGCCTGAGAGGACAGCTCATGCTCCGCTTGCTGAAGCACTCACTGACAGCGCGGAAAATACACCAACGAAGACAATTTTAAACACTTCAGCAGACGCCCATAGTCGTACGCTTTCGTTTGATATGCAGCCGTCATCCAAACGGGACCATTAAAGTCTATTTTTACCTTGTTCAGTCGCTTGTCAGCGCCCGTAGACCTTCCTCGCCCCAAATCCAGAACAAACAGTCCCGTTCGACGTCGATGACGCCAGACGTAAAGGGGGCGGGGCGAATGTGTGTCAGACGAAAATGTCACCTACAGGCTCGGTCCTCCCACTGGTGCGATCACGCAACACCTCGTAATAGCTCCCGTCCAGAAAAAAGGCTGGTGTAAACTTTAGACGAACTGAGCGCCAGGGGACTTCTACTTATTTTTGATACAAATGGAACCCCATACGTTATCATCTCCAGATTGTGATGACTAGAGAATCTATTTTTATTTTAGCCCAAGTTTTCATTTGAAATTTCCCCAAAAAACTATAAACATGCTGATTATGCTCTAAAAGCTATTATTTAATAAACAAAGGCAGTTATAATTCCAACACATACAAAAACAGTATAATATTGTTAGTTAAAATGTTTTTTTATTAAATGTACTCATTTTGTTTTTATTGGAAATTTATGCAACAAACCAAATGACCTGGTCCATAGTTGTAAAGTGTGAAAAATGTAGTATAAACAGATGGAATCCATTTAATAATAAGGTGACATCTGAAGGTAAATTGATATAGATTTTATCAGAGTATCAGATTAAAAAGAGGCTAATCTATATGCATGCTGCTCTTTGTATTTTGGGATAATTCCTTAAAACATTTCACCTTACACTTAATTATATACCATCTTGAGATATCACCTCAAATACAAACAATATAATTTTTAATCAATACATCAAACTCAAGCAATAAAAAAAGAGCTGCATAAAATGTTAGAGCACAAAAACACTCAACCATAATGTAGATTAAAAAAAAAATCTAAAACTTCAAAGTTTAAAGGAACTATTTAAGTTTAAGTTTAATTGAGACACACTGAGATAAAACAATCCTGAAAGATGGCAAAGAATCAGAGATTTGTTTTGAATAAGTTTATTTCTCAGTTGGAACAAATAGTCACATCTTTTTTCCACCTATTCTGAATGTCAACAGTTAAATTCACTGCAAGATTAAAAAGCTCACGTTGCTGTAAAATTTCAGTTGCAGATCACAAATAGGTCAATTCTGGGTCACCATGCAACTACAAAAATAAAATAAAATAAAAACAAAAAGAAAACAAAAACATCCTGTAACATTACAATACTGATTTCTTATAAAAGAAATTAGAAATATTCAACAAAAATGACAAAAGTTTGATATTTTCACAAATATTGCCTTTGAGGTTTAAATAAAAAAAAAGAAAAGAAGAAATCTTTTTGATTTTGATTTTGTTGCATTTTGAATCAAAATGCAACAAAAAAGAAGTTTTTGTTGCATTGAGAGTGAAGACAGCACAAGCATTTATTATTCGATTTAAGACTGGAACCAGCAAGGCCACCTGTTTGTCCCGAAAAAAAAAGCTACTTTACAAGTTCATCTTAAACATAATGGAACGCAGTCATGCATCAGAGCTGCTTAAAGGAACGTCGCCACTTTTAGTCGAGCTTAGTGAATAGTAGTACCTTAAGTGGAAAACTTATTCCTAATGCAATGTAAACCAAAGAAAAACAGCAGAAGTATGTACAGCTGATGTAACTGGACTGATTCAGCAGCTAGTCCAGATATATTCACATTAAAACGCTCTCAGGAAGGAAGGAGAGCTCATTCTTGATAATCCTCCGCTCCTTCCTCGTCGCCATGGAATCCCTCTTCTCCTTCGTCGTGCACTACGTATCCCTCATCCTCCTCTTCCTCGCCTATCTCAAAACCTTCTTCTGCTCCATGGTTTTCCTTCGTTTCCTCTTCCTGGTTCTCTTCCTCCAGCTGCTGCTGCTGCTCTTCATCCTCCATCCTCTCCTCTTCCTCCCCCATCCTATTCTCTTCCTCCCCCATCCTATTCTCTTCCTCCCCTGCAGCAGCAGCAGCTGCTGGTGGTTGTTCCCCCTCTCCTTTCTGAGCAGCTTCTCCTTCAGCCACAGACTCATCATTGAGCTCGGGGTTTTCTGGCTGACCTTCAGCCGCCTCCCCGGTCTGCTCCAGCTCTGACACGTCCATCGCCATGGAGTCCTCTGGGTCGTGCTCATCTTGGTTCCCAGTGAACGGGTTCTCACCCTGGCAACGAGACAATACTTCAATGCACATTTACTACAATGGTAATGAGAAAATAAATTGTAGTCACGATTACTTTATGAATAGGGGAAAAAAAATTCATATTGAAATATTTCACATTTCAGTAATAGTGAAGAAAACATAATGATTAACAGTTAATAAAACATATAAACAATAAAAAAAAATAATAATGGAATATAAAAAGATGAAAAATTGTAAAACATAATGGTACATAAACAAATCTAATAGTACCAAAAAACAGTAAATAAAATGCTAAAATAGTAAATAAAACAATTGTTAACATAATAGTTAACACAATATTTAATTCAACAGTAAATAAGACATTAAAATTATAGTAAATAACATAACAGTAAATAAATCAAAAATAATACTTAAACAGAACAAGATGGTATATGAAAAATATAACAGAATTGCAAATATAAAATAGTAAAGGTGAATAAAATAATAGTAAGTAAAAAATTCTAAAAATAAATTGCAAAACAAAAAAATATAGTAATTAAAATGTATAATAAAATAGTAGTAAAAAAATCAAAAAGAGAATAAAATCAACATAAATATAAACATTATCCACATACCTTGAGGTAGCTCTCCAGTTTCTTCCCAATCAGTTTGTGGTTGAGGATGCTTCGAGCCACTGATAAACTGCCACGCTTCGCTTGCTCCATCATGCCCTTAAAAACAATGGTTTTACAGATTTTACACGGAGGGCAACAAGAACAAAGAGATTACATGAAAAATATTAATAAGTCTCCACAGAACACTTGCAAATAAACCAAAAAAGTAAATCTAGAAAAATAAAAACTTTACAGAAGAAAATGGAACAAAAAAAATCTGAAGATCTTTAAAACTATTTTTTAATATGTTTTCCAATTTCCATTGGAGCTCAAGAAAGAAAAGTTTAGAATCAAGGTGTGAAACAACTGTAAATGATCAGATCAGGTTTCAGTGAAAGCGTACCTTCCGGTTGTAGTTGTGGTCTGGAGACTTGATGTGTTTCTGAATGAGGTGGGGCTGCATGGGAATGAAGAGGTCACAGGCTCCGCAGTGCGCCGCCTCCACCTTCCTCATGAAGTGCTCCATTCCAAGCTCTGAACCACAGGACAAAACATCAACACACACACCGCTGCTGCGTTGTCGTTCTGATGCACAAAAGGCAGAAGGAAGCGCTTACCCCGGGTCAGATCCTGCTCTCTGTATATCTGGCAGATGGTGGCGCTGTGGTTCTCTAACTGGCCGACCCTCTCTGCCGTCTTCTTGAATTTGTTCTGCATGTACTCCTACAAAATGACACACATAAAACATTTTTTAATGAGGACTTTAAGGAAACGGATCAATAGGAACCCAGTTTACTTTTTAACTTCATGACCATGCGACGCCACCTGCAGGAAGTCTGTGGTTGGTTTGGACAGCTGGTTGGAGAGGAACTTAAAGTGGTCCTTGTGAAAACGGCTTTCCAGATGAGCGTCCATTTCTTCCTTGTAGAAGGAGCGGAACTTGCAGACGGAACATGCAAACATCAATCTGCCGTGAGAGAGAAAATATCGACTCAAAACTAGTGATGTCAGGCAAAGCAAAACAAAAGGACCACATAAACTTACCAGAAAATCAAGAATTTTCAAACATTTCCAGTAAAGAAAAAGCCTATTTTGCTTACATAAAAAAGAATAAAGAAAAAGAAAGCAGATTCATTTATTTAAGCCTCGCCCCCTCACCTGTCCATGAAGCCTCTTCTCTTCCTTGCTTTTTGCTGCTTCTCCTGTCCCTGGGTCGGAGGCTTCTTCTTCTCCTCCTGTTTGGCCGTAGCTGATCAACAGTTCAGACGTAACACGAATGAAAACAGGTTCACACTTCAAAAATATAGATTCTGACAAAAATATTAAAAACTCGTGTTGGGAATTACCAGTTTTCCCTTCTTCAGAGGGAGTCGCTTCCTGTATTAAAAAAAACAAAAAACAAATACATTTGATAAAATATCAAGTTTAGTTTGTGACGCACAGTAATTCCTAATTTTATGTGCAAGTGTTAAACTTTGTCTTAATGTCACAAGAACTAATATTTAATGTGCACCAGTGAGAAATGCTGTGTTCGCACAGAACAGCATTCAAATAAACAATTTGTGCCACTTTTTATATTGTATAATCACACAAACATCGAGTAGTTTTGCAAATGTTTGTAGTTAACTTCACTAACATGACGCATCTGTCATAATTCTACACCAGAAGAAGCCAGGGGTGATATATTGTGTTGCAGTCAAATGGCTGAAGCAACCAAAACTGCTCAACTTTACAAGAAAAAACATTAATCCACAGATGGCGGCATCCGTCTCTAATCTGATGTGCAGTGCTGTGTGACGTCTTTGTTCTCATTCTGTGAATGCAGGTCACACTGGGGTCAAAGCGTTCACGCGGGGGTTGATTGCAGTCACAATAAACCGATAATAAATGAATAAATATGGATTTCAGAAAAATAAATAAAAATGAAAAATAGGATTGAGCATCAAGACAAAAAGCTTTCCCTATTCACCTCAGTAGCAGCCTCCGGATTGTTGTCGTCACCTTCCTGTTTTGGTTCTTCTATTTACAACAGAATAAATAAATAGGCACAGATAGATGAGACAAGACTGCAAAAACTTCTCTAAAAAGTGACATCATCATGTCTGGGATTTCTGAGGAGTTACCTTGCGTTCCCTCCGCCTCTTCGTCCTCCGTCTTGTTCATCTTCGACTCCGGCTCATCGCCTCCGGTCTTTCTCTTCTTCTGTCCGTCACGCTGCGGCTTCATCTGCTGCTGCGAAGCCAAATTAAAACGACACGACAGGATAAAATAAAATCATTACACATTTCTAGACTTTAACCCGCACTGCATTTCTGTTCTCGCCGTCTTGAGAATTCCTCACAGAAATGCGGCCGAGACATGCAAACTACACATCTGCGTTTTGAACTTGTCTGACTTTCAGTTTCTTTAGGCATGGGCCGG